CCTGACGTTACGGACACCTGACGTTACGGACTCCTGACGTTACGGATACCTGGCGTTACGGACACCTGACGTTACGGAAACCTGACGTTACGGACACCTGACGTTACAGACTCCTGATGTTACAGACTCTTGATAACACCACATAACTCTGGACATTTGAGACCAAAGTGGATTTCAGCCACTGTGTCAGTCGGCGGTATTGATGGTTTGGATATCTGTAAAGTTTCTGTACCTGTTTGTTCAGACTTACAGCCCAGCTACACGAATGATTTCATGTTTGGCGTTTCAGCAGCAGACCTCATAAGGAAGCAGCAGAAGCACCACTGGGTGGCGCCCCCACCTGGACCTGCTGTTACCTGTGTGGGTGTCGGTGGTGGCGGTAACCGGACTGTCTCTCAGGGTGTCGGGGTCCTGGTAGTCCTGCGGGAGCCCAACCCGCCTCACGCCCGGGTCCAGAACCACGGAGGAGCCGCCTTCGCTCAGCGTGCCGTCGCTGGACGCCCCAGACACCACCGCCTCCAGCGCCAAGGCCCCGACCCCGCCCACACCCACGCCACCCAGAGCCAGATCGTAGTCAAGTGGCAGGTCGTCCAGACAGTCGGCGTTCAGCTGCAAAGAATCAGAACTGGGTTTAAAAGTCCAGCTTGAAAAGAATCTGAAGAATCACAGGTCTAACTGGGTTTCATCTGGCAGCCTTGAAGACCTCAAAGCTGCAGGTCTTCAGACTGGTTTACTTTATTGTCCAGCAGCTGCAGACTACTGATTACTTTCTGGATGAATCATCAGCTGTTTGGTGAAAACACTGAATAATGGGTCAGAGTTTCCTCAAATGTCTTGTTTAGTCCAAAGATCTTCAGTTTACTGTCACAGAGGAAAGAGACCAGAACACACTGAAAATACTGGAGCAGCTGCATCACCGAGTTCAGACGGGTTTCATTAAACATCATTCCGACTGATGAACTGAACATCAGAACAGCTGGTGACTAATGTCAGTGAAACAGGCCTGAACTCTGATGCTTTGGGTTCAGCTGAGACCAGCCTGGACGCTCTCCAGCTCCCGAGACTCACCGCGATGCCGAGTGCCTTCAGGATGTTCATCTTACACATGGGACATGTGCGATGGTCCAGCAGCCACGGATCCACGCAGCTCTTATGGAACAAGTGTCTGCAGGAAGCAAAGTTCTGCCGTCAAACACTGAACTGGCTCTAAGGAACAACAGGCAGTCACAGCTTCACCACATCTACAGGCGTGTTTGGAGAACAAATGATCTTTGTTTACAAACCAAACGTAGTTTCTGTGATCACAAGAAAACTGTTCTATTTGAATTGAACATCATCATCACTACCATCACCATCACCATCATCATCATCATCATCATCACCACCACCACCACCACCACCACCACCATCATCATCATCATCATCATCATCATCATCATCATCATCATCACCACCACCATCATCATCATCATCATCATCATCATCATCACCATCACTACCATCATCATCATCACCACCACCATCATCATCCCTACCATCACCACCATCATCACCACCACCACCACCATCATCACCACCACCACCACCACCACCATCATCATCATCATCACCACCACCACCACCACCACCACCATCTCCACCACCACCACCACCACCATCTCCATCATCATCATCACCACCACCATCGTCATCACTGCCATCACCATCACCATCATCATCATCATCACTACCATCACCCTCATCATCATCATCACTACCATCACCATCACCATCATCATCACCACCATCATCAACATCATCACTGCGATCATCATCATCATCATCATCATCATCACCACCATCACCATCATCACCACCATCATCATCATTACTACGATCATCATCATCATCACCACCACCATCATCATCGTCACCATCATCATCACCACCACCACCATCATCACCACCATCATCATCACCACCAACACCATCATCATCATGACCACCATCATCATCGTCACCATCATCACAGCTCATTTAGAAATGTGCCACAATTAACAGTTTGCTTTAACCAGACCCTGCAGAACCAGAACCTTCCTCCTCCTGGTTCTGCTAATGTGTGTCATGTTTGGGTGAGTGGAGCAGGTGAGTAAGGGTTAGCTGTGTGGGTTAGCTGTGTGGGTTAGCTGTGTGGGTTAGCTGTGTGGGTTAGCTGTGTGGGTTAGGGTTAGCTGTGGGTTAGGGTTAGCTGTGTGGGTTAGGGTTAGCTGTGTGGGTTAGCTGTGGGTTAGCTGTGGGTTAGGGTTAGCTGTGTGGGTTAGGGTTAGCTGTGTGGGCTAGCTGTGGGTAAGAGTTAGCTGTGTGGGTTAGCTGTGGGTAAGGGTTAGTTGTGTGGGTTAGCTGTGGGTTAGGTTAGCTGTGTGGGTAAGGGTTAGCTGTGTGGGTTAGGGTTAGCTGTGTGGGTTAGCTGTGGGTAAGGGTTAGCTGTGTGGGTTAGGGTTAGCTGTGTGGGCTAGCTGTGTGGGTGCTTTACCTGCAGGGCAGGACTCGGACCACGTCGTTGGGCTTGTAGCCTTCTATGCAGACGGCACAGTTGTCGAAGTCGGCCTCGGTCTCCTGGTCGCCCTTCCTGATGGTGCGGACCTGCAGTTTGCTGATGGCCTTTTTCGCTGCATCGCCAAGACGCCGCTGCAGACGGACGGAGGACAAACATCATCAAAGTGTAATAATCTCAGGTTCAGGTAGTTTCTTACAGCCTCGTTGGGGGTTAACTGTCCTGACCAACCCTACATCTTCTTCGCCGTCCTGGTATAGCGCTCCTACCTGGTTGCGGTCCCGAGCGTTGGCGTATCGGAACCTCTGGATGTAGTAGAAGACGAGCCAGGCCAGCGAGATGATCATCAGCACAATGAAGGAGATGGACACAAACACCACCGACGTCCTGCTCACGTACTTCTGCAGGTTCCTGGTGCCGATGGTGATGGTCATGGTGACAGTTACGTTGCGCTCCAACAGCGATACGACCTCACGGCCTTTGGGTTCAGGGATCATGATGGCGACCACCTCGCTGGCACCTGAAGAGACAGTTCATCGTATGACCGGCTGCTGTTTGGATTTCAATCATCAGAAATCAAACAGATTCCATTCATTCATCAGACCACAAGAGGCTCGACAAAGATCCAAACAAAGAGCCGTGGAACCGTCAGCAGCCTCCAGAACAGACAGGAACCCAGCTGCACAGGCTGATGGATGCTAACTATTACACTGAGAAGCATATTTTTAATGAAAACCCACATTTAAGCAAACAAATCACATGAAGTATGAGGTGATTACAGTTTGTGGTTGAAGATGCAAATGCAGATTGATCTCATTAAATGTTTCTGCTTTAAATGTCCAGAGACAGACTAGGAACGTGTATTTTGAGGCGCTGGTCTGAAAGAAGCCATGATGGAAAAAAAAAGCCTAAAACCTGCAGAAATACAGCGAACTTAGTTTTTAAATGAAGCAACATGATGAATGTTTAGTTTTCTCTCAGCCTTTGGTCTCCACCAGGGAAGCCGCTGATCTTCGAGTCGTTTCTCTGTTTGTTCAGAAACATGAAGTGGTTTTAATTTCACTTTTAATCTCCAGTAAAAAAAAAAAAAACTTTCTCAAGAGTTCAATAGCTTCATGGGAGACAGAAGCGTCTCCTCTGAATGACGTAGCGAGGCCTCAAGTCACATGACTGATCAGCTTTTTCTGACCACATTAAAGATGGCCGACCCCCACTGACACCAAAGCGTCCTCACAACCTGACAACTTTCTCTGTTTCTTCTTCTCCTCTGTGCATACAGCGCCACCTTCTGACCGCAGTGGACTGACTCCAAAGCAGGTAATGAAAGCAACAGGAACCCACACATGTCCTGTTGTTGAGGTCCGGTAGAGGCCCGGTTTGCTCAGAGGCAGCCGTCTGCAGACGTCCTTATGTCCAAACTGAAAGTCCAGCTTCCTGTTTAACCCTCCTGAACCGAATCAACACAAGCAAACCCACGGCCTGCCTATTGATCCAGTCACAGCTAACAAACCCCGTCACCATGGCGACCAGATCCCCCGTCACCATGGCAACCAGCTTCTCCCACCAGGCTGCCGCTAAAAATACCCTAAAAAACAGCGACATGGTGGGCGCCGCCTGGATTCACTGAAACACCGTCAGCGAGATCCAACAAGTGGCAGCAGGACGATCAATGAGTCCGGTACACCAGAACGGGTCGTGGAGTTTAAAGGAAAGAACCCGTCAGAACTGGACCCACTATGGTCAATGATTCAGGTAAACATGAGGTTCTGAGGAACCAGAGGGGGATGCTCAGCCTCTTTCAGATCGATGCTCCACACCAGAACCAAACCACAACAGCTGCTGGTTCTGGAGCTGAAAACACACAATAAACACAACAAACACCGAACTGACATGAACAAACCCAGCCGAGCAGAACGTGTCGACATCAGTCTGAGCTTCTCCTCATGGTGCCCAAAGACAGACGAGTTAGGCTAACCCTAACCCTAACAGACGAGTCCTCCACAGGCGGTGGTTTGCAGCTTCACCTCCACGTTTACCACAACAAAGCTGCAGTAAACAACAAACCAGAGGGCTGCACTACGAAGCCAGTTTGACAGATCCAGGCTTTCTCTGTGTAGCCGAATCAACAAAACCAAAAAAGCTCCAGCAGAGACCACAGGTGTCATGAAGGAGGTCCAGCTTCCTGCTTCAGACTCTGTTCTCATTAAA